GTCACCACACTCTGTCCAGCAGCAAAATCAACATATCAAAAGTCCTTCTTTTGCTCAAGGGGTGTTTCTGCTCTCTAAGGAGAAATACCAATAACTTAACATCTTAATTCTACTTCTTATATTAGTTATTTTGTATGGACATGGTAAGAGATGCATTGAGCTTGTAGGGTGGCTCTCCTGGGGACATCTCGCCACAGACTCAGTGTACAGTGCTCAGACCAGATTAATCTTTCCTAACCCTAGCAGGGTCTGAATCTAGTTATTGCTTTTTGGATCATGACAGCATTTGTCCATGACCAAGCTCTTAACTTATAGTTAAGCATTATGGCACTTTAGCCAGGCCCATTTCAATGCCAGGGTATCACATAGCTCACAGCTTGCCTTGGGTCCATCCAGCCCCTCGTCAGGACCCTGCTTTTAGGGTGGTAGGAAGTAAGGGCAACTGAGGCTTAGTTAAGAGAACAGATGCCCCGGAGGTAATATTATCTGGAGTCAATTAACTCCATTATAAAAGCATCGCATTGTCTTCTTGTGCCCATACAAGACACTGCTCTGAATTAACCGAATTAATTCCTGCACTGCATTGCACTGTCCTCCTGTTGTTCATCGATTTGCTCGAGCGGGCTCAGTAACATTGTGAGACTTGTTATGGTGTTTGGCATATCGAATATCTCACGGAGAGCTTGCCAGGCTTTGCCGTGCAGGCAATATACTCTCAGTAGTTTGCTGGGCTCTCCGAGAGGGGCGGAGGAATTGAACTTAGGTTGGCCTGGTCGGCTGTGTGCAAAGCAAACACACTACCTGCTGTGCTATCACTCCAGCTAATTAACTGAATTAATTATGCAGAGGACTTAAGGAGAAGAGAAAAATAATATTTACAAGTTAATAGCACAAAGAAAGAAGTTACAAATAAACACAGAAGAATGGGAGTACTGTGATCAGCATAACCCAATAAACCTAAGCTCCCTGCTAAGGCTAAAAGGACAAACCAATGCTATCCTACAGGTGTTTAACAAATTACTTTTGGTTTGGGAGTCACACCAATTGTGCTCAGGGCTTACTCCAGGCTTTGTGCTCAGGGATGACTCCTGGTGGGGCTTGGGGGAAAATTACAGGGTGCCTGGGATTATACGCGGGTTGGCCATGTGCAAGGTAAGTGTCCTACCCACTATACCATTGCTCTGTTTTTTATGGTTCATTACCTGTGGCGGTGCTCAGGGGACCATATAGGATGCCAGGGTCTGGGTCCTGACACTGTACTCTCTCTCTGGGCCCTGGCAGGAAGTCTTTTTACTGATTCACTGTGGGCTGACAGGGTACTGCAAGTTTCTAGAGTATAGAGAACATTACTCAAATTTTATGAAACGAGATAATGGAATTTAAAAAATATGTATGGGGTTAAGTACTAACCAGGCCCGACCCTGCTTAGCTTCCGAGATCAGACGAGATCAGGCGCGTTCAGGGTGGTATGGCCGTAGACTGGAGTGGGCTGGAGTGATAGCACAGCGGTAGGGCGTTTGCCTTGCACACAGCCAGCCCGGCTGAGCCAGGTTCGATTCCTCCGTTTCTCTCGGAGAGCCTGGCAAGCTACCAAGAGTATTCAATATGCCAAACACAGTTACAAAAAGTCTCACAATGGAGACGTTACTGGGCCCGCTCGAGCAAATCTATGAACGGGAGGAAAGTGACAGTATGGGGTCAAGGGCGATAGTACAGCAGGCAGGGTGTTTGCCTTGCACATGGCCGAACGAGTTAAATCCCCTCCAGGCATTCCATGTGGACCCCTGAGCACGGCCAGGAACAATTCCTAAGTGCAGAGCCAGAAGTAACCCCTGAGCATTGTCATGTCTTGCCCAAAAACCAAATAAATTTTTAAAATATTGAAAATAGGGCCAGAGGGGGCCAGGAGTAACTTCTTAGCATCACTGGATGTGATTCCTCAAAAGCCAACAACAACAGTGTAGTCATTCAATAGGACTCAAATAAAAGTGGTCTGAGGAAGGAAATTTTTTTCTTTTTTTTGTCACAACGGTGATGCACAGGGATTATTACTGGCTTTTTACTTAGGAATTACTCCTGGTGCTGCTTGGGGGACCATGTCAGATGCCGGGAATCAAACACAGGTCGGCTGCGTGCAAGGGAAATGCCCTATCTTCTGTACTATTAGCCCCTAGAAGGAAAATTTTTGAAGCGGGCAGATATCGTGCAAGGGCTCAGAGCTTGTCTTGCTCATGGCTTATCCCTGTCTAGCACTTTGCTGGTATTAAAAGAGGCAAAGTAGGAAGCCAAGGAACTAGCTTTTTACCAATTCCACACTGAAACATTGGCAGCATATCATAACCAAGCAACAGTCATTGTGTTTCTTCTCTACAAGGAGTCTTTTCTCCAAGTGTTTGCCATGCCAGGATCCATTACTACTAATTAGAATGAAAACAGGTATATTTACAGATAAAGTATTTTTAAAATGCCAAAAAAGAGTATATTTTTGAAGTAAAATGAAGTCTATAAATAGGTCACTTATTTCCCCATCAGGTTTACTCCATAACTTTTAAGCAACCTTTGTATTATTAACATTTAATAAAAGGGGAGGGGGGCTCAAACTATTTTCAGCTCTAGGTAATTTTAATACAGCAAATAATTCCCTTAAGTGGATCTAACACCCCAAACTCACTATACATATTTAAGGTATAACTCTCAAGCTAGACCTAATACTATCATATTCTAATCACATCTATTTGAGAAAATACTGATTCCAAATAAGATATTTGTCAGAAGCAAAGAATTCAGATTTCTTTTTCCTGTATCATACCCATTGGTGTTCAAGGGTTGTTTCCTGCAATACTCATTTTTGCATGCAACTCAGTTCCTTGAGCTATTTCCCCCTCCCCCTTTTTTAAAAACCACTTTTCTTGTAGAGCACTCTAGTAGGTAGGTATGTTAAGTCTTACCACACTGGCTGTGCTCATGGCTTACTTCTGCCTGAGTTCAGGAATCACAACTGGTGGACTTGGGACCACAAGGGATGTTGGGGATCTAACTCCAATCAGTCATGTGCAAGACAAGCACCCTACCTGCTGTAGTATTGCTCTGGCCCTAAAGTAATCGAGTTAAAACCTGGCAGTGATTGACTGCATTTCAAGGCATCAACTTCCCCACTCCCCTCTCTGGCCACAACTGGTGGTGCTGGAGGTGGGGGGAAGGGGAAACCATATTCTATTGTGGGCATCAAACCTGGACCCGCCATGTACAAGCCCTACCTGCTGTCCCATCTCTCCAGCTTCAATTTGAATCTTTTTGAGAAAACTTTATCAGAATAAGGACAAAGATTTTGAATGCATTGGAAAACAGTGCTTGATGTTTGCTAATTATTCATAGTAAGGGGGAGGGGAAAAGGAGTTAGGATGCTTTTATGATCCACATTGAATTTCATACATCCATTGTCTTTAGGTACAAATTCATAATTTGAGCTTTTAAATAGAAGTTAATTTGACCTTAGAATTTTCTATTTGTAATTTTTAGATGTGCTACCTAAAGTCTGTCTGCTGTGAAACCGTTTTTTGTGTATGGGGGGGGGGGGGGGAGGGCATACCTGGCAATGCTTAAGGGTTACTCCTGGCAGTGCTATGGGGACATGGACACATCACAAGCATGTCGGGGATCAAACCCGGGTCAGCTGAGTGCAAGGTAAATGCCCTGCCCACTGTATTATTGCTCTGGCCTCAAAATGTCATTCTTTTAATAATCTCAAACTTTCAAAAACTTTAAAAATCTCAAAGTTTCAATAGGCTGAAATAGCACAGAGCTAGTTATCTATTTTCTGGTAGAAGGGCAACACGTGGAATGCTCAGGGGTTACTTCTGGCTCTGCACAATTGCTTCTAGTAGGCTTGGAGAGCATATAGGATGGTGGGGATCAAACCTGGTGGGCCATGTGCAATTCAAGCGCCTTAGCCACTATACTCTCTTCGGTCCCAAGCTAGTACATAAAAAAAAAAAAAAAATCACACATCAAGACAATTTACCAGAATTTAATAGAAATGCTTAGCAACCTAATCTCCAATGGCACCTGTAAATGATTTGGATGGAGGTGTGTCTGCTTTGGGTCACATCCAGCTGTATTCACAGCTTAATCATGGAGATGCTGGCGCAATATATGGGGTACTCGAGGTTGGACTCAGGCCAGCTGCATATTAAAGCCAATGCCTTAGGAACTGTACTCTGACCTATAGGTCCCATTTCAGAACAATTTATAGAAAGGTAATTACAATCTCAGCAGTAGCACTGGCATCTGTGCCACACTAAGCCAACCAGTATTCTCTCAATTCCTGCAAACATCTACTTAAGCAACAACAAATGCATCAGTGAAGTTTTGCTATTCAAGGTGCTTTATTACTTTATCCACCAGGCTTTTATTTATATAGAGGGACTAAAATAATTGTCTATGATCATTTTAAAACTAGCAGGAAACTAAGACTTCGAAAGTCAACAAGGAAAACCAATTATCTGATGCCAGTTGTTTTAAATGTGGTGGGGCCAGATAGTAGAGTGAAACACTTGCTCTGCATGCATGCAGAGACATGGGGTCTGTCCCGAGCATATCCCCAAAATGTCCCAATGGGAGTGATCCTTGTGCAATTGGGTGTGTGCCCCCAATATATATATAGTAACTGGAAGAAAATGGATTCCTTTTTGACACTGGTATAAAAAAAGTTTCAGAATAAGCATAAAGAAGTTGGCCAATGCCAATGTCTCATTGCGAAGTTCCCCTAGCTTCTTAAGAGTAAGACCTTAGCACCTCTGGACGTGCGCCCCCCCCCCCCCAAAAAAAAAAACAGTGAACAAGCATTCTCAAAGGGCCACACACATCTTCCAAAGTGGAACCCAAAGTAATAAAACACACCCTTAGTACAGTCAGGTGTGGCTCAAATGCACCCCTCGCCCCAAAGAGAATAAAGATCTCCTAGGGAAATACTCCCAGAATGAAGTTTAAGCCACTTAAGATCAGCTCCAAGCACACATTTAATTATGGCATCTAAGAGGAGACTTATGCTTAGAAACAGACACAGAATTTGGAAAATCAATGAACATTTATCCAATCATAAGTACAAGTAAAATTTTAATAATCTATATTAGGAATTACATATTGGAGGCCATGGGTTGGCACTGGCAGATGAATTCCAAAATTATCACTTAAAAATCAAAATGAAAATCTGCACTCTTTTTTTTAGAAAGCATACCCTTTCTTTATATACTATACTGTCACAGGTGACTTTACCACTTACTATATTATTGTAGTTAGTAAACACTACTTTGTCATTATGAAGGAAAAATTATGATCAAAGATCATAATGTAGTTCTGATAGACTACACATTCTTTCAACTATACACAGTATATAATAAACAGTATATTTTGTACGGCAGTAACATGCAACGATTGGTTGTAGAAATGTTAATGTAGTTTGTTACATTAGGATTTTGTGTAGATGCTTACAGTTTGGGAATCAGGAATGAAGAGAGCAATTAGTTAATGCTTACACACAGCAGACACATCTAATGCACAATATACAGTACCACTAAATATTAACAAGGGATTTACAAATAAAAAAAAGAAAAAGAAAAAAAAAGACCTACATAACCTATGTGTAATGATGGACTTTATTTAAAAAAAAAAAATCTTTTGAGGACTGTTACAAAGTAAAAGCAGATCATTACGTAGAAACCTAGTTAATACATTTTGCCTGTGCAAGAAAACTTTATCAAAGTTCTTCATTAAACAGTATCACCTCATTCACAATAGTATCCGTTATAATGTTCTTCTTCATAAGGTTACTATGCCTTTATTTCAAATTTTCTAACACCAAACTCCTGACTTATAAGAATGGCACTTTTGAAAGGGGCAATTTCCACTCAGTTGTTGGTGGCATTATTCCAATCTGATGCTTTCACCAAACTTAAAATTTTTTACTTTTAACACAAACGTTCCTAGAAGCCAAAATATGGCCACATTTTGTTTTCTAGTGGCTACATACAGATGGGCAGCAGCAAAGAAATACAGAAATTACAAGTCAGCCATTAAATGGCAACTGTACAGATGAGATATCTGACTCATGGCAATTAAAAAAATGGCAACCAGAAGTATTAACAGCCAGATACCTAAGTCATTATTGAATATATTCAGAATAAAGCCAATCCAATACGACAAAGTGGAAATGCAACATTATCACCATACTTCATTCTTTACAACAAATACTTTAAGCCAAAAGGCAATCCAGGTTACATTTAAAACCCCAATTAGAACATGCTTAATATTTTCAACAATTTGTACTGGGTTTAGTGCAATCATTTTTATTTTACTCTCACTACTCAGTCCTTTCTTACCTAAGTCTATGACAAGTGTGATAAAATTATAAGACATTTTGAAAATAGCTGTTTGAAAAGAGTATCTATTTGTTTTCCCTTATTCTGGAATGCTTAAGTGTCTTGACGGGAAAAAGCCCAAAAAATTTCCCAATGATCTCCCTTTCAAGTTTGTTCTCTGTAACTTATCTAAAAGAACAAACAATGGAATTCAAGGGCATCTGGGGTTTAAAAAACACAAGAAAATATTAACATGCACGTAATGGTCCAAATATTCTAGGTTTAAGTTAAGCGACTTCAACTGCTGCATGTGAAATTTTCATTGATGAGTAGGGCTTTGGGCATACCGAATTATCACACAAATCATTGCTTTTGAGACTTTGGATACTTTTATAGTTTAATTTGCAAACAGAATTTCTATAACAAGTTACTTTTAACCAAATCATATCTTGAAAACTTTTATATAGAAAACCCAGGGAATAAAGTGAACTGTTCACTGTGGAAGGCCTTAAATTACATTATTACAGTAGAAAATACAGGAGGTAGAAGGTAACTGAAAGATGAATGCAACATTGGATTTAAATCTCTAGCTCCTGTAGCTACTTAAAACATGGTTTTAGAAACTAAACCCAACATTTCCAGTAACCATAGGAACAATTAAAATAAATTTGCCATGAAAGCCCTTATATCATGCTTGATATAGGGAGGTAGGAATATGTAAGAACCAGGACACATGAAACATGACATTTTATCTACAACTCCTGTTTGTTTTACTGAGGGTGTAGTTTCAAAATTCAGTCACCTTCTTCAGCTTCAGACTCAGATTCTAGAAAAGGGAAAAAATGCAGCCAAGCATTATACAATATCAGAAAGTTAAGTCTATTTCATTACTTCAAAGTCTTAAAAACTGTAGTTACAGAATTTAGATATTGTCTTTATAGATTTAAATATTAGTATTCTCAAAACTACACATTCTTTCAATGAACGTTTGGCATTATAGTAGTCATTAAATCAATTAAATCTAGTCTTTCTCATCGGCCTCAAAGTGACTTTGCAGATGAGTCAAAAATAAACAACAACCTGTATTTTAGATACAAAATGACATTGCAACAAAAGGCAGTATGTACATGTGGACACATTGTATGGCCATTATCAGTCCATACCAAATATATCACACAAAGGAAAAGACTTACCTTCTTCAGCATTTTTGAGCCACTCTACAAACTTTTTCATTTGTTCAAGGAAGACACTTTTCCCCTTTGCAACATGTGCATCCTTATACCACTTCAGTATGGGTTCTTCACTCAGGACTTCAGCTATAAAGAGAGTTATGTTATATTTGAAAAGTTTCATATGCTTCTTTCTCAATCTCTGGCAAAATTACAGATTTTATTTAATTATTTACTAGTTATTCTGAATATTTTATTAAATATATTAGAAAATATAATTACCTTTATAAAAAAGCACCACTATTTTCTGAAAGGCTTTCATGAAATGAATGTTGTCATAGCAGTACTCCTGAATCTTCAGTAACAGAGTCAGCTCAGACTGACCTTGAGTAGTAAAGGCAGCAAGTAGAGGGCTGTATTGCTTTTAAAGAAAGAAAAGGCATTCATTGTAATAAAAAAATTTGCAGAGCACCAACACTTCTTTTCTAATTACTGTAAATTAAATTTAATGGGAATTTCAATTAATAGCAAACAATCTAAACATCTTAGTCAACTAAATACCGCATCCAAGATTTCAGATAATTGCCATGTTAATATTTTACACTGAGAAGGGAAAAATTTCCTAATATTCCCTCAAAGTCAAACCAAACTGCAGGTTTAAGTCTTACTTATGAACTAAAGAACATAAATCAGGTATCTCCACTGTGGTGCTAGGGAATGAACACAGGGTCTTATACATGCAAGGCAACTGTTCTACCACTGAGCTAAGTTCCTGACTCCTCTGGCCAGCCTTTGTTTTTAGGAACCTCAGGATATAAATCCTTTTAGTAGTTATCTATAGAGACAGTGACTATATAGAGTATAGGCATAGACAGCTCAGTTATCACCACATAAGAGCAAAATGTTTAATGAAGGTATAGTTCTAATACCTTCAAGTGCTTGATGGCTTGTTCTGCTACAAGTTCTTCCTTTTTGTTCCATTCCACAGTGCTCATTACGCTGGACCAGACTATTCCAATGACAACAGGTTCTGGGATGTTGTTTTTTTTCATCTCTTCCTTGACATACAAAATTATCTGCAAAAATCCAAATTTAGTAACAGTAATTTAGTTTTGTTATGTACATACACCACAGCAAACTGAGAAACTTAGAAAAGCATAAAACAACTTTCCATGGAACTGGAAACATATGTGCATCTCATCTAACAAGAAACACTGGGAAGGATAGACCTCTAGTTTATAGCCTGTAAGGCAAGAATAGTTAGGAAAGAAATGAGATGAATAGATAGATTTCTTTTGCAGCACTGTTTATAATAGCCAGAATCTGGAAAAAACCCGAGTGCCCAAGAACAGATGACTGGAAAGTATCATGCTACGTGAAATGAGTCAGAAAGAGAGGGACAGACAGAAAAATTGCATTCATCTAGGGAACATAAAGTAAAAAATAGGAGACTAACACCCAAGAATAGCCAAGATAAGTACCAGAAGGTTTACTCCATGGCTTAGAGGCGAGCCACACATGCTAGAGATAAAGGGAGCTCAGATAGAGAAGGGAGCACCAAATAAAGGGTGTTGGGAGGATCCTCCCAGGATGGGAGAAGCATGCTGAAAGTAGATTACAGACCTACCGTGATTGCCACTCAATGCCTCTTTTGCAAACCACAACACCCAAAAGGAGAGAGAGAACAAAGGGGAATGCCCTGCCACAGAGGCAGGGTGGGATGGAGGATATGGGGGGTGGGAGGGATACTGGGATCCGTGGTGGAGGGATGGGTAACTTGATCATTGTATAATTGAAACTCAAGCACAAAAATTTGTAAATCTACAACTGTACCTCATGGTGTTTCACTAATAAAATTAAAAATAACAATAAAAAGAATAGGTCTCTTATCTTGAACCATTAAAACCCAAATCTGCCGCCCCCCCCCCCCCCCGCCATTTTGGATTACACCCGATGGATGCTCAGGGGTTACTCCTGGCTCTGCAGGAAGGAATTACTCCCGGTGGGGCTGGTGGTGCTTGGGGAATCGAACACGGGTTGGCGCGTGCAATGCAAATATTCTACCTGCTGTGCTATTGCCCCCCCCCCACTCTAATTTTTGGGAACCAGTGAAACACTAGATGTGAAAAAGATGAAGATAAAGCCACAATATGACATTTATAACTATTAAACGTACTCTGGTCAACTAGTTTGTGAGTAAACACTTTCTATGCCAGAAATTTGGTCATATAAAGATGATTTAAACAAAAAATATCTTACATCCTTAAAAGGATCACCACGGGACATCTGTTCCTGAAGTTCTTTCTGAAGTTCCTTACGAGCTCCTATGGTCTGCTGATTTCGAACGTATTCTGAGAGCTCTTTTAAGCCTGCCTCAGTAAAATACTTTGTGAAGTGTTCAACGCTTTGTTTATTGGCAGGAAAAAGTTCCTGAAAGGAGAATTTAAATTAGATTAAGGAAAATTCCCTTAGTAGCATTCACTTGTGCAAAAATAAAAACAGCTACAAACCATCAGTCTATTATCCATGCTGACTTTCCGAAGACTTGCAGCTACTGCATTGATATCTTTTTCATTTATCCATGATTTAAAGAGCTTTACAGCAAAAGCTGCTGAAACCCCTGTAAAAGGAAACAGCTTATTAGGAAATCACTCTGTCACTGTTTAACATCCCACACCAATGGCCCTATTCTTTTATCCACCAATTGTGAAGCTTTAGGTTACACAACAAACGAGTCAAGATTAAAGCTAAATAATACTTTAACCTGTAAAAATAAAAAAGCCTTTAAAAAATTTGTACAGAATACTTTTACTATAGAAATCACAGATCACATATGCTGTTTTACCTGTCCAATGTTACATTTTTTACAATGTCTCTTTGTCTCTGAAAGTTATTTCCAAGACTTTCAATAGTATTTAAATCTCATTCTGAATTTCCATGGTATTTCCCTTTATAACATTTTGTCTGGACCTTGGACATATACTGTACGCCTAAAAAAGCCATTAACCTTGAACACCAAAAGTACACATTAAGTGTTTAATGAATTCTAGAAAACTCATTAGGGGATAATTTAAAGAGTAGTACACAAGTCAAATTTTTACTAACAATAACCTTACTTTTATGCCAGGCCCCCCTCCTTTCATATTTCTATCTATTCAACTCTCAGCCCACTAAAGTTCATTTTTACTAAAAGCTGATTACCTTCTTTAACCAAATTCTCATTATAAAGGCTGTTAAGAATGGATGCATTTAGTGTTCCATTAGCCAGAAGAACACCAGTCAACATAGCCAGTTTGTTCCTCTCTGACTCCGAAAAACCCTTTAAGAACAGCAGCAACTATGAAAAACAAACAGATTAAGAGAGTTGTCACATATGCATGATACCCTTTCAGTAACAATATTGCAAACCACAGTGCTTGAAAGGAAAGTAAGAGAGAATAAAAGTGTCTGCCATAGAGGAAGGCTGTAGGGATGGGGGTTGCTGGGAGGAAAACTGCAAACACTAGTGGAGGGAAATGTTCAACTGATGAAGGGATGGGCGCTGGAACACTGTATAAATGAAACGCAATCATGAACAATCTTGTGACTTATCTCAGGTGATTAAAAAAAAAGTCATCACAGTGATGAAAAAAATAAATAAAAGAGAGAAGCAGCAAAGGAGGCATACCACACATCAAAGGAGTAGACTTTGAGACTGTTTTCTTGGGAGCTACACCTGGAAATGCTCAAGGGTTACTCCTGTCTCCACTCAGGAATTACTTACTCCTGGGACCACATGGGATGTCAGGGATTAAACCCAGGTGGGCCATATGCAAGGCAAGCGCCCAACTGCTGCTTTACCTCTTTAGCTCCTAAATTATTTTAAATCACTAGCTGAGTGATCTTAGACAAGTTATCAAACCCTGTGCCTCAAGCTTCCTCAGATGGATCTGAAAGTCACCTCATAGATTTTTTAATGGAATGTTTATATAGCATTGTTTTTATCGTATTTTCTGTGTACCTATATATAAAACATCTAATAGAATCAAGAGCAAGCATGCTAAAGTTTTCTTTCTCAGCGTTTTAACCTCAATCTTTAGAACTCCACTTTGATTTTCAACCTTCTGCTACTTGTTTAGACATTTAAGAGACAGTGCACAGCAAATTACATCGATATACCTCAAAACCTTATTTTAGACAGCCTACCTAAATATCTAGCGTTATCTCAAATCTGAGGCAGAATTAAGATTTTACATTTCCTTCTAACTCCAGCATTTGGTTTCCTACCATGCATAAAATCTTCTCATACCTTTTTTACTTCATCTTCAAAACCTTTCTCCAGGTATTTGTAGCGCCTGATTAACTTGTTAAAAACCTATGAATAATAATAAAGGAACTTAGTAAATTTGTATAGATGCCAGATTACTAAAAGATCTAGGTTAGGGACACTCAGATCTTTTCCTTTTTTTAGTTTTTGGGTCACACTCGATGAAGCTCTGGGATTACTCCTGGCTCTGCACTCAGAAATTACTCCTGATGGTGCAGAGGACCATATGAAATGCCAGAGATCGAACCTGGGTCAGATGCGTGCAAGGCAAATGTCTTATCCGCTATACTATACCATCCCTCCAGACCCAGATCTTTCTCATAGTATTTCTAGAGTAACAAAAACGGCTAACATTTTAAGTTTGAATTTGTGAATTCCCAAACTCTGAAAATGATGTCAAGACTTTGTCACCATGCAGTAATTTTTACTGCCTTTTATTAAATAATTTAACACTTCAATGTGATTTAGTTATCTGTAGGAAATCATCAGATCAAGATTATTTTAAAAAATTCTATTTTCTGAATCACATATAACAATTTCCTAGGTTAAATTCATGGTCTTAGCAGACATGACAATATCACAGCTGAATGATAAAACTAATCAAACAGGATCTGGTGAAGGGGGTGGGAGAGAACAGGATCTCAAAACCTTTAGTCCAAATTTCTTCTAGGCTAAGAACTGTATTCTGCTTCCTGGCAACATTTGGTGGTGCTCAGGGGACCAAAAGTGGTTCCTGGGTTGCAACCTGGGTGGGCCACTTGCAAGGTTGTACTATCCCTCTGGCTCTAGTGCACTATTTTAAAAATTAGACTGTGCCCAAAAAATTAGTCAAATGGAGATAACGAATTGAAATAATCATGCAAAATTTTACTTACCTGAGCAAATGCTTGCATGGTCTCTAGGTCTTCCTGTGCTGCAAACACACAGACATCTGTACGCATCATGTCATCTGCCAGTGTACCACCTGGAGCTAAGGTAAATTTTGTAAGAAGTTTGCAGTGTCCTTCATTTTATATTAAAAACTATCTCATTAAAATTAAATTTAAAAAATCTAAGGAGGTTTGAAAGCAGTTACTTTCCTGGTAACAACACAGCTTATATGTAAACATGAAATACCTTATATATGAATAAACAGCCCTAACTTTAGTCACCCAATGTAAGAAAATTACTAAATTAAACATTCAATAATACTCTATCACTCAAGTAGAAATGTTAAGAGTTAGTTTGAATAAGTAACTTTCCTTGCAGAAATAACCCAAGCTTTGAAATATGGGGGAGTGGATAAGTAAGTGGAGGTATGGACCAAGACTGTTAATAATTGTTGAAGCTAGGAAACTGATCAAAGAGTTATCCTTTTACTCTCTAGTGGACCAGAGCGATAGCACAACGGGTAGGGTGTTTGCCTTGCACACGGCCAACCCAGGTCCGATTCCTCTGTCCCTCTCTGAGAGCTGGGCAAGCTACTGAGAGTATCCTGCCTTCATGGCAGAGCCCGGCAAGCTACCTTGGCGTATTCCATATGCCAAAAACATTAGTAAGTTTCACAATGGAGACATTACTGGTGCCCGCTTGAGCAAATCGATGAAAAACGGGACAGTGCTACTCTCTATAGTGTTAAGTCTGAGTACTTCCCTTTTAAAAATGACTTCTAAGAAAGGCCTACTTTTGGGAGGTTCATTTTGTTTTGGGGTCACACCCAGCATCATTACAGGTGGTGCTCAGAATCTGAATTGGCCAAAAGCAAGCAAAGTGCCCTGCCCACAATAATCTTTCCCCAGCTTTCTGATAACAGTACTATGTCTAGAAAATAATCTTTCCTATTTCCTACTATCAACAATAAAATACTTATTTGAATAGGCTCTAGAACATGAGAATGTAAATTCCCATTTCCATTCCTGAGCACTTCACTGAGACGAAAATCATGTTTCTTAAGTGTCCTTCATTTTATATTAAAAACTATTTCAATCATAGTTACTGTAAAGATAACTAGAGAGTAAAAGGATAAATCTTTGATCAGTTTCCTAGCTTCAACAATTATTAACAGTCTTGGTTCATACCTCCACTCACTTATCCACTCCCCCATATTTCAAAGCTTGGGTTCTTTCTGCAAGGAAAGTTACTTATTCAAACTAACTCTTAACATTTCTACTTGAGTGATAGAAGCTGGGGGAAGGTGGGGGGGGGGGGGGAAGAAGGGGACAGAGGGGCGCACTAGCACGTCCCAAAGCTGTGCTCTGCAATCTGGTGGCCATTCCCAGCGAAACTCTCAGAAAACCAAGACTGCCTGAGAAAGGACTTGTGGAAGTGATGCTGCTCAGCCCCTTTGGTGCTGGAGACCAAGGACACCTTGGAAAAATGCTGACTGTCAGGGATAGAACCTGGTGAGGCATATGCAATGCATGTATCCTAACCCCTATACCATGTATAACTAGACATTTTCAGCCCCTTAGAAGTTTTTATTCTACGTGTATACCAAAGAGTTCTGATCCTACTGGCGTACTTAAGCTTAGTATTAATGTGAAAACACTTAGCTATGCATTAAGAACTGACCATTTGAAGACACAGAACTAGGTAGCACAATCTGTTAAGATCTACTAAGCTGAGACAGAAGAGACAGTAACAGGTAAAGGTGCTAATCCTGCATGTGGCTGACTGGTGGGGATCAGAGAAAATGATCCCGGAATACTGCCAGGAATGACCCTTGAGCAGAGCCAGTAAATCCTGAGCTTAGTTAGGTGTGGCACACAAATACCCTGAGCCTTAGATGTAGAATTTAGGGCAGTGTTGTGGCAACAAATACATGTGATGTTAATTTCAAATATTACTGTAGCCACATTAAAAAGGCTAAATTTAAATTAAAAATTATTCATTTTGATTCTGGAATCCCACCAATATGTTTAAGGGCTATTCCTGGCTGGGTGTTGCTCTTGGCAGTGCGCAGGGGAGTGCCAGGGATGGAACTGGGCCTCCAAGCACGCAAACTCTATTTGAGCTATCTCTGAGTAATCTCTCAGGCCCTGGGTGAAATTACTGTAATGAAGGACTCTTTCTTTCATTGAGAAAATCAATGACCTAAATGAATTTATCAGTGAGGAAACAAAGACATCCACAAAGATTAAGGTTTTAAACAGACTTTTTTTTCCCTTTTTGGGTCACACCCAATGATGGCACTGGGGTTACTCCTGGCTCTTCACTCAGGAATTACTCCAGGCGGTACTCGGGGGACCATATAGGATGCTGGGAATCGAACCTGGGTTGGCCATGTGCAAGGCAAACGCCTTACCTGCTGTGCTATCACCCCAACCCCTAAACAGACTCAAATTTAAAAATAGAAAAAATACTATGGGGATTTTAAACAAAGCCACTCCAATCTGACAGGTTTGTTTTTGGACCACACCTGCTGTGCTTAGAACTTAAAACCTGGGCTCTGTGCTGCTCAGAGATGCAGGGTTGCCACTATTTCTCTGGCTCTCATTGAACAGGTTTATCAAACAATTCACATGCTGTATCCTATATAATCTCCATTCAACATACTTCATACAAACCTAGACACTTACCCAGCATTCCACCAGCCACCAGAATGTCAAAGAGTGTTTCTGCATATCGACGGTAATCAAGTTTTGCTCCAGAAGCATCAAGAAACTTTGCTACTGCTTCCAAATCAGTACCAGTTTCAGTTAAGCCTTGAATAATACAGTCTTGAAACTGAGTAGGGTCAAACCTCTCTTTTTCATCTGGGGGAGCGGGGGAAAGGAACAACCAATATACATTACCAAAATGACATGAAACTAACCTCCTGGGATGTGGTATATAATAAGCACAATCATGATTTTATTTCAACAGTTACAAAAAATAAGCTTTATTGAGCAAGACCAGTAACATAAGCAAATGCAACAAATGCATATCATTTTGTAAGTTTTCCTTCACAAGGTAGGACTGTGATTCTTAACCGTCTTATGAACTGTGTGGCTTTTTCTCACCATTATTCATTTGTACTTAACCATACACAGCAGTGCTCAAGGCTTATTCTTGGCTCTGTGCTTAGGGATCACTCTTGGCTAGCTCAGAGGATCACATGAAATGCTAGAAATTGAATCTGGGTTGACCATATGCAAGGCAAATGCCCCAACCACTGTACTATTGCTCTGGCCCTTACAATTCTTTTCCAGCTAAATGAAAACTGGTGTATCCCTACTACAAGGGGGCAATTTCAACTTGGAAAGCTCTCCCACTGCCTCTCCTGCAACTGAAAATGATTGCTACTTAACACATAGTATGCCTGGATCATGCATGTTGAGGTACTATTACATAAATAATAGTATTTTTCACTTTTGCCTTAACCATCTTACATAGTTTAGTTTCACCAGTTTCCCAGTATAAAATAGTTGAAAGCCACTGTTCTAAGTTTCAGAGATGATCAAAAATTGCAAAATTTCACTAAGCAAATTTTATTCTTTGCTGAAAATTTACCTAAATACAGGATACTCGCTGCACTATTGCTGGAGTCTTTTTAAAAACACCATACATTTGAAAAATAATTTAGCAACCATTAATTTTTTAGAAAGCATACTTAAGCAACACTCAAATATATCAGAAACTACAGTGTATGCTTTGCTTTCATCCTTATAACTTAATGAAGAAGTTTATTCATAAAGGAAATTGAAGTTCAAAGGGATTGGGTTATCAAGAGACCATTATGGTAGAATTCTGGAGTTAAGTTGCCTAAATAAAATTTCATAATTATCACACTTAACTAGTCTCATTCTACATGTTTACCCTTTTTCTACTACAAATGATAAATAGCGGTACTTACAAAGTTGAGACTTTACTTTTAACCAAAATCAAACTAGAACAGTGCTTGGTGTACCTATCTAGATTTCACTGAGTTATTTACTGAGTAAACTCCATGAAAGAGTTAGATTTTCCCATTTAGATATTATCTTCATTTTCACACAGTATGAGGGTAACAACAACCTTCTCCCCTTTTCCCCAGGACCACGAAAGGCTCACGTCCTAGGAATTGTCTCCAGCCCTATACAACCAATCAGCATATTGTTCACCCTACAAGGGACCCAACTTTCAAGAGCTAGGAGAGCATGAGGAATACTAATTTGCAAATAGCTAACCAGCATCTCTTCCAGATGTTAATAATAATAAAAATTACCACTTATACTCTATTTACATAAAGTTGATAGCACAATCCACCTACTCTTTATTTCATCTTTCAATACCCGCAACCGGCAGGGGAAAAAAATATATATTTTATAAGCAACAACATTCGCTCCCTATTTTTTAAAAAACGTCCAGTTAAAGTCATTGTTTCTGATCAATAACATTGCAAAATTTGGGGGGAAAATATTAGCTCCAATAAAAAAGGAATGAGACCGCATTCTTATTTAATTTTCTATCACTAGACTAGTTGCCTTGCTACAGAATTCATTCATCCAAGTATAGCTAACACAAAAAAGCAGTCGTTAACATTAGTACTGATATAAGTCTGAGAAATATTTGACTCCAGAAGATATTATGTAAACCCTGTTACACAATTCCCATGGGCAAAACTTGATTTTTCTCCCATAAATGCACAAAATTTGGGTAAATTAGCGATCACATAATTTTTTTTTGCTTTTTTGGGGGTCACACCCAGAAATGCTCAGGGGCTATTCCTGGTTTTGCACTCAGGAATTACTTCTGGTGGTGTTTGGGGGACCAAATGGGATGCAGGGGATTGAACAGGGGTCGGCTGAGTGGAAGGTGAACATCCAACCTGCTGTACTATCCCTGGAGTCCCAAAGGCTCTTTCTTAAACCAAGCGCTGCCCTCCCAAGCAAAAGGCTACTTACATAAAAATCGCCTTAAAAAAATGCAGCCCATATTTTTTGTTTTGGGGTGCTAAGGGCTTATTCCTGGTCTGTGCTTGGAGATCACTCCTGGCAGTTCTTGGGGGATCACATGCAGTGCTTGGGATGGAACCCAGTTGGCCAGGTTCAAGGCAAGTTCCCTAACCCCTGTACTATCCCTCTACTGGTCCCCAAGTATTTTCCTGAAATACTTCCCAATAAAAAAGGCTATTCAGAAACCTGCTCAGTGTTGTATATGAAAGTTGATACCAAAGTCTTGTGAAAGCCATGGAAATATTAAGGGTATATCTAAAATGGTATTCAACCAGAAATCCACATTTCTTTGTGGTGTTTTTTTCTCTTATGGTTTTAGTGCTACGCAAGTGTCTGCTGGAGAAACCAGGAAATGTTATTCTGGGGGAGGATGGGGGAGTTGAAGAGCGACTATTGTTAAAACGCATTTACCTCTTTTTCTGGTTTTAAAACGCTGGCCTGATAGCGTTGGCTTTTGCTGCTTTTGATTATTCATAAAAGACACCCTAGGAAAAGAAAAACAAGGCTTTTTAAAAACACCTGGCGCGGTGGCATTCAACTTTTAACAAAGTAACGGCAATTTGGTCTAGCCACAAAAACAATACCGAACCGCCTCCAGCAAGGCCAACAGACCTGGGGCGGGTATCGAGAGCGACTACCTTCGCTGGAATAATCACGGCCAACCTGACTTTCTCCCAGTAAAGAACCCTTGAAAGACGGAAAGTGAAGCGCAGGCCTCTAAGACCTGACCGCGGAAAAAACCTTAGTGACTAGCAGCAAAATCACTCACCATCCGCAAGACTGGTTCCCAATCCCCTACAATCTGCCACGATTTCTTAGCCCCGCCGAAGACGAACGGCTAAAGATCCCCGGGGTCCGGAGGAATCCGAAGCCGCTTACGTCAATTTAAAGACACTGTGTCACATGGCAAATCCCTCCTTCTCTGGGGTCGCGGGATGGGGGTCAAGCTAAGAGCACCCCCCTCCCCACCCACCCCGCCCCGTCCCCGCACCGCAGGGCCGCTTGCACCGCGCCAGCCTGCCAAAGGCACGGGATGAGCGCCATCAACCCCCATCCCCGAGCTCCTTCCCCCGGCACATGGCTCGCGGGCCCGCACGCTTCCCGGGGCCTCCCTGCATCGACGACCCCGCGGCCGCCGCCGCAGGGGTCTCCCTCCGTCCGCAGCCCCTTCTTCGCCACTGACCCCGTTGCCGGTGGTGGTGGCCGCCGCAAGGAGCGGACCACAGGCGCCGAGGCGCTCCGCGCCGGGGGCCCCGCCGCCCCGTACATCCGCCCGCCGTCCAGCGAAAGCTGCGGCGGTGGAGGCGGCCGCAGTGGTGGTGGCGGCTCCTCCGCCCCGCCCGCCGGAACCCCCCACGCGTACATCACCCAACAGAGGCCGCGGCGGCTTTGTTACCCAGGCCGGGCCGGGCCGGGCCGGGCCTGCTCTCGGCCGCCGCCGCCCCGGGGCTGCCCCGCTGGGCGGCGGCCACGGCCCTGGAATCCAGGGCCCGGCTCCAGGGGCGGCTTCCGGCCCGGCCCGCCGTCCTCGCCCGGGCCCGCATGGGGCCTTGCCGCCCGTCCTCGCTCGCTTTTGCGCCCGGCAACGAAAGGCCGCAATTCTGGCCCGGTGTGGTGTGCGTGTGTGTTGGTGTGTGTATATGTGTGTGTGTGCGCGCGCGCACGCGCGCGTGTGTGTGTGTATGTGTGTGGCGGAGGGGCGCCGCGCCTCACCGAATTTAAGGCGAAGAGAAAAGAGCCAGAAATCCCCGAGGTGGCGGCAACTGCGGCGGTGTCTCCTCTGCGACCGGAACTACCGCGGGGAGCAGGAGGAGGTGGAGGAGGAGGAAGGAGGCGCCACCCCCGCCGTGGCCCGGCTCTCCTATCGCGAGACTTCTTCCCAGCCCCGCCCGGGCCGCGCTTTGCGCTTCTCCCTTTTTTTCCTGGGGGGGGGGGGGGGGTTGGCGTGAAGATGCGGGGAAGGGCAGCGCGCTTGCTGGGAGAGATTTTTTTTTTTTTTTGGCGTCCTCTTTGCGGGTTCTTGGCTAGCCTAGATTAGCCCTTCTTTCTTCGATCCCGCTCGGATTCCGCACACGGAGGGCTTGGGAGGACCGGTGTTCCCCCACGACCCCTGCCAGTCTTGCAGAGGTTGAACACATCGGCCCCGATCCCTTTCCCCAGCGACCCCCTATTCTGCCGCCGGAAGTCGAAGCCGGAGAGGCTGGGTCGTTCGCGACCCTTTCGGATAGGAGGTTGGGCTTGGGAAAGGGGGTTTGACCTAGACTCACCTCTGGGAAGGCTTGGCTAACTGCCCTTGCTTTGTAGTGCTACCTGCGGGGAGGTGGAGGGAAGGGGCTCATGCACTGCCTCTTAAAAAGCGAGGAAGACTCGGTAGGAACCCTCCAGATAGAAGATCCAAGGGGGGAATTTTGGCCTTGGACTCCACCCCTTAAGGTGACTGGAGGGTTGTGCCGACAGGGATCCCCGCCCATCCCCAGGGTTTGCTACAACTGCTGGGCCTCTTGCACAGAAATTCTGCAGGTCTCCTGTGGGACTCGAGAACATGCGTTTCTAACAAGTTCTCTGTGCTGTTGCTGGACTAAGAACCACTGAATTAAGAGGGCGTAGCATAAGAGACGAGGTGAAAGTATATGTGAAATGCACGGTGGACGCTGCAAAATTATACGGATAGAGTTGCACTAGTTTTCAGTTCAGTCACTCCAAAAACTGCCTCTAAACTACCTTCCCTAGATATCACTTCTCTTTCTTAAACATTTCAGTAAATCGGCCTACAGGAGTTGATTTATCATTTTCTTTATCAGATCATTGCCCCTTGTCTCTCCTACTTCATGACAAATTACTTAGAATTTTTTTTAAAAATTAGCATTGCGTGCTGAAAGTAGACTATAGACCAAACATGATTGCTACTCAATGCCTCTTTTGCAAACCATAGCACCCAAAAGGAGAGAAAGAACAAAAGGGAATGCCCTGCCACAGAAGCAGAGTGGGATGGGGGGGATGGGGGTGGGAGGGATACTGGGACCATTGGTGGTGGAGAATGGGCACTGGTGGAGGGATGGGTACTCTATCGTATAACTGAAACCCAAGCACAAAAAGTTGTAAGTCCACAACTGTACCTCATAGTGTTTCACTAATAAAAATTAAAAAAAAAAAAGCATTGCAGTGTAACTTGGAAGTTACAGCTGTTGAATGGTCTCACATTCCTTTCCATGTCCCCCAGCACTGAGGAATGACCCAACCAACTTTACCTCCTCTCCCCCTAACATTTTGTTTGTTTTGTTTTTGTCTTTTTGGGACCACACTCTGTGATGCTCAGGGTTACTCCTAGCTTTGCACTCAGGAATCACTCCTGGCCACTAGTGCTTGGGGGACCATAAGCAATTTCTGGGATTGAACCCAGGTTCATAGCATGCAAGGTAAACACATCCTACCCTCGGTACTATTGCTCTGGCCTCAGATTGTATTTGGAGACTATGTATCTATGATTGCAAACTCTTTTTTGTGTGTGGGGTGCAGGTGGGAACCACACCTGGCAGTGCTCAGGGGTTACTACTGGCTTTGCATTCAGAAATTACTACTTTCAGTACTTGGGACCATCTGGTTTGCCCAGGATATGTGCAAGCCAAGTGCTTAACCCTTCCATACCCTCAGACCTGATGGTTTCTCTTCTATACTACAATTTCTTGTCTTTCTTCTTGCTAACATGACAGCCTCATGCTTTTCTTTGAATTTAAGTTTTATTTCCACTTAAAAGGATTTCAAGCTAATTAATTGAATTTAAAAAAATAAAACTTGTGGAGGCCAGGTTTTATGTGCTTCAGTACTGAGAGAAGGTCCTGGGGTAGTTTACACCTGACCTCTTTGCAGAACTGGAAGAAGCTGATGTGGCTGGAGCTTGATGAGAGTTGATCAAGTTTGGGGGAGCAGAGGACAAAAGTCAAATTTCTGTGTCTAGCCATAGTCTTTCTCCAGGTCCCAGTTCAAACTCTGGTAACTCCACTGAACGCGGAACACTCTTAGTACTGGTGATTACTCTTCTCCCAAAACAGTTTTCTCACTACTGAAGTTCTGTTAAAAATAAAATGTTTCTCTAATAAAGATAATAGCGATTTGTTTTTATCAGGCATATATGTTATGTATTCTAAGCACTTTATGTACTACAGTTAATCCTCAAAACTATCCTATAATCTAGAAATTTTTATTAGCTCCATTTTATAGATGGGGAAAAACCAAGGCATGGAGAGGTCAAGTGATTTGCCCAGGGTCACAGAGCTAATGAATGGAAAAGCTCAATTTGAACCCACATAATGTGACTTTAACACAGTAATATACTACCTTGCCACCAAGACTTACTTCACTGGACAAATGTTTATTCAACTAGAGGTTACTAAAGATAAAAGAGCTAAAATCCAGGCCTGTGTTGTGACAAAGCTTATCTTCTATATTTTTCCTAGCACCATTCTGATTTAGGTCTCCATTATTCTGAACCAGGATTTTTGCAAGAAATTCCCTACTATGGTTTTTCTTTCTCCAAACTCCAGTTATCTTTCCAAATATTCCCTGAACTAGTTGCTTTCATTTGAAATTTTGGATATACATTTTTAAAATTCTCACGAAATATATTCTCTATAGTATAGTTTGCTGTTTAAGCAAACCAATATTAAAAATCCCACAAAATTTTCTAAATGTTTTAGAAAACAAGCAGCACAGTTTTAAAAAAAATGAAATCATCATGAGGTACATAGTTACACAGTTGCTCATGATTTGATTTCAGTAATGTGTTCCAACACCAGTCCCTTCAGAGTACATTTCTCACCACCAATGTCCCCAGTTTCCTTCCTGCCAACCTTCAACCCCAACCCAGCCTGCCTCTATACAACCTCTATGGCAAACACTTTTCTTCTTTCTCTCTTTTGCTTTTTTCTTTCCTAATGGGCATATGGTTTGTTATTCAGGTACTGAAAGGGTACCATGGGTATCCCTTTAACTATTTTCATCACTCAATTCTTGTCCAGAGTGATCATTTCTAACTATTATTGTCAGTGGTACCTTCTATCCTAATTCTCCCCCTCCTCTGCCCCCTGCCCCCACTACTTGTGGAAAGCTTGCAACCATGAGTTGGCCAGTCCTGGTCCTTATTTCTACTGCCTTTGGGTATTAGTCTTATACTATATCACTGTATCACTGTCATCCTGTTGTTCATCGATTTGCTCAAGCAGGCGCCAGTAACATCTCCATTCGTTCCAGCCCGAGATTTTAGCAGCCTCTCCTTTTAGTCTCCTCATCCTTCCCAATAGTGCTATATTGGAGGCTCTTTCAGGGTCAGGGGAATGAGACCTGTTATTGTTACTATTTTTGGTATATTGAATAAGCCATAGGGAGCTTGCCAGGTTCTGCTGTGCGGGCAGCATACTCTTGGTAGCCTGTTGGGCTCTCCGAGAGGGACGGAGAATGTATATAATAGAATACATGCAAGTATGTTGAAATCAAACATATGTGTGCTGTTTTAGGTACATCAGTGGGCTAGACTAGAATAGGTCAGCTTTGTTGTATAGTCTCTGGATTTTGACTGTTGATGGGATTTCATGGCACCGGGGGCAGTTTGTGGGTACGACTGCCAAGCTACTGGAAAATGGGGGATCTGGATGGAGGAGGCCCAGTCCCGATCCACGCAGGCTTGGAGATCTCAGCCCCCTGTTCCTGCACACCTGAGTTCCTCTGCTGGTTCTTTCATGCATGAGGCTCATCTGAGCGTGTGAGAGTGTCTTTGGGCATGGCAGTGCTTGGGTTCTGGAGGTTTTCGGCTGCCGGGGTTCTGCTTGGGGTGGGGAGGGAAACTCAACCCGCCCCCTCCGAGGGGCCCCTGTGAAGACAGCCTGGCACAGGGGCAGGAGATTCTGCGTCACTCTCATACTATGTTGTTGTTTTTTTTTTTACCATCCCACAACTTAGTGCAATCATACTATGTCTTTCTCTCTCCTTCTGACTCATTTCACTCAGCATGACACTCTCCATGTCCATCTACTTATAAGCAAATTTTGTGACTTCATTTTTCCTGGTGACTGCCTAGTATTCCATTGTATAGATATGCCATAGTTACTTTTTTCTTATTTTTTTATTTTTGGGTCACACACTGTTTTAGGTACTTCAGCGTGCACAGGGGTTCCTCCTGGCCCTGCACTCAGGAATTACTGCTGGCAGTGCTCAGGGGACCATATGGGATGCTGGGAATCAAACCCAGGTCGGCCGTGTGCAAGGCGAACGCTCTACCTGCTTTGTTATCACTCCAGCCCCTCCTCCCCCATAGTTTCTTTATCCAGTCATTTGTTCCTAGGCACTTGGGTTGTTTCAACATTCTGGCTATTGTAAATAGTACTGAAATGAACATAGAAGTGCAGATGGCGTTTCTGCGGTAGGTTTTTGGGTCTCCAGGTTATTTTTCCAGAAGTGATACCTGCTGGGTCTAATGAAAGCTCAATTTCTAGTTTTTTGAGGATTGCTTATATTGTTTTTCAGAAAGACTGAACCAGTTGGTACTTCCACCAACAGTGAATGAGAGTCCCTTGGGGATGATTGCCTCCCCACATCCACACCAGCACTGGTTGTTCCTGTTCTTTTTGATATGTGCCAGTCTGAGTGGTGTGAGATAATGTCTTATTGCTTTGATTTGCATCTCCCTGATGATTAGTGACATAGAATATTTTTTCATGTGCCTTTTGAACATTTGTATTTTTCTTTGAGGAAGTTTCTGTTCATTTCTTCTCCCCAATTTTTGATAGGTTTGGATGTTTTTTTTCTTGTAAAGTTTTACCAGTGTCTTTTATG